TGACCCCTGTGGGGGCAGGACAGGAAGAAGAGGAGGAGGTAGAGGAGGACATTGGTGCTCAGGAATTATTGAGTGAAATGGGTGGTTTTTTCCACTCAGCGGACAGGAGTGGAGGAGCAGGAGCATCTCGTAGAGGAGGAGGAGACAGAGGACCCAGACGCACCGTGGCAGTATGCTGTGGAGATGGAGGCAGGGAGTCCCTCGCATTCCTTGGCACAAATGGCCCATAGCATGCTCGGTTGCTTGCGTAGCGACAGCGAATAATAACCATCAGACAGAGGGATGACTTTTGGCTGTCCACCTTGTTGGACCCTCGCTACCGTTCAAAAATGGTGGCCTTTTTCACACCTGCTGAGAGGGAGGCCAAAATAAAGTACTATAAAAACCACCTATGTAGTCAGTTGGTCTCTGCCTTTCTGCGCCAACGTCCATCCTCAGACACTATGGCCTTTAATTGAAGCTGCTTACGCTCCGCCACTCTGCCATGGGCCTCTTGGGTATCCCAGAAGCTGCTCAGCGGGTCAGGGCAATAAAGCTCCCGGTTCGCAGGTTGTTCCGTCTTATGGATGGAAGTACGACGGTATATGATCTTCTTCGCACCCACGGCATTACTTCGTAGAATTTCTGCATTGCATCTGCAATCACAACGCTGACTTCCCGGATCGCCACTCAGCCATTGGACTCTTGATAGTCATCTCCCCACACTGCTGCTGGGGGGACTTTTTAACCTAGGCCTGTGTATGGCCTTCAATTGAAGCTGCTTCCGCTCCGCCACTCTGCCATTGGACTCTTGATAGTCGTCTCCCCACGCTGCTGCTGCTGGGGGACTTTTTAACCTAGGCCTGTGTATGGCCTTCAATTGAAGCTGCTTCTGCTCCGCCACTCTGCCATTGGACTCTTGATAGTCGTCTCCCCACACTGCTGCTGGGGGGACTTTTAACATAGGCCTCTGTATGGCCTTCAATTTAAGCTGCTTACGCTTCGCCACTCTGCCATGGGCCCCTGTACCGCCTCCTCTTGCTGCTGCCAGGTCCAGAGTGTGTCATGGGTCCCTGTACGGCCTCCCATTGCTGCTGACTTCATTGCCAGACTCTGCCATGTGCCACTTTCAGGTCTCCTTACACTGTTGGTGGGTTCCATTTTGTGTGATAGGGTGCTGTATGGCCTTCCATTGCTGCTGCCTCCACCGCCACCCTGCGCCATGTGCCTCTGTCGTCTGCTCACGCTGCTGACGGCTTCCGCTTTTTAACCGAGGCCTGTGTTTGGCTTCCGAATACTGCTGCATCCACCGCCACCCTGCGCCATGTGTCTCTGTCGTCTGCTCACGCTGCTGACGGTTTCCGCTTTTTAACCTAGGCCAGTGTATGGCTTCAGAATAATGCTGCCTACACCGCCACCCTGCGCCATGTGCCTCTGTCGTTTGCTCACGCTGCTGCCAGGTCCATACTGATTCATGGCCCCTGTACCGGCTCCTCATGAACGTGGTTCAGCGGGTTTGCATCACTTAACGGCAAATCGTTGACAAACGCTGGGACGTTCAGTGTTGTGCGCATTAAGCCAGACACCAAAGGGCAGCACAGACCTGTTATTACTCGCTCAAGCATGGCTGAACAAAACCAGTCTCTACCACAAATTGGACCCAGACCTGCCCAGGGTCTCGTAAGTAGATTGCACGGAGGAGTAGAGTTCGTTATTGGAATTAACTGTGAGGGACTTTTAAACCTAGGCCTGTGTATGGCCTTCAATTGAAGCTGCTTCTGCTCCGCCACTCTGCCATTGGACTCTTGATAGTCGTCTCCCCACGCTGCTGCTGGGGGGACTTTTTAACATAGGCCTCTGTATGGCCTTCAATTTTAGCTGCTTACGCTCCGCCACTCTGCCATGGGCCCCTGTACCGCCTCCTCATGCTGCTGCCAGGCCCGTAATCTGCCATGGGCCCCCGTACCGACTCCTCATGCTGCTGCCAGGCCCGTAATCTGTCATGGGCCCCTGTACCGCCTCCTCCTCATGCTGCTGCCAGGTCCAGAGTGTGTCATGGGTCCCTGTACGGCCTCCCTCCCATTGCTGCTGTCTCCATCGCCACACTCTGCCATGTGCCACTTTCAGGTCTCCTCACACTGCTGGTGGGTTCCATTTTGTCATAGGGTGCTGTATGGCCTCCCATTGCTGCTGCTGCCTCCACCGCCACACTGTGGCTCCACACTCTGGTTTTGGCCCCGTGACTGCCCAAATGAGTGAAGTGTGTGGTGATTCTAAGATCGACGGCACTCATCTGCATGTCATACTGACTGACAGTATTATTTCTCTTCCCCAGCAGACTCCAAGGGCATTTAAATTAAAGGTACAGTGTTCTGCACTAATATTAAGTCTCTCTGAAGCCTAGAAACACCCTTTTATAAGTTAAATTCGCAGCGAATATATTCGGCTCGAAGCGAATTTATTCGGCGAATTCGGCGAATCAGCCGAACCGAATTTTTGAATTAATTCGCTCATCTCTAATCATAATGATAACAGAAATCACCCAAATGGCCATGATCAAAAGTTTACATACCCTGGAATGTTTGGCCTTCGTACAGACACACAAGATGACACACAAGGGTTAAAATGCCAATTAGAGGTTAATGTCCCACATCTGTGGCTTTTTAAATTGCAATTAAAAGCATTAAAGCGTTATTTCGGTTTATTTTATTTCACTTATCACTATGGACTACTATATGAGGATTTGTACTCTCCTGGAAGTCCGCCTGCCTCTGTTTGTGCCTCTGGTCCCCATGAGTCACCATGATAGACATCCACAGGGGCCATCAATCTTCAGTACCACCATGTTTAACATTGAGCTTATCTGTATGTATCAGGAGGAGATATCCAATTGATATGGAGCCCCCCACCCTTTTTTTCAAGGACTGGGCAATATTATACAGTCCCTGCATCTCTTGACCCTTTTACATTACACAGCCCCCTGAACATTACAGAGTCCCTTTACATTGCACAGTCCCCTTTACATTACACAGCCCACTTTACATTACACAGTTCCCTTTACATTACATCTCCTGAACATTACACAACCCCTGCATAGTACACAGCCCCCTTTACATTACACAACTCCTTAACATTACACAGCCCCCTGCATGTTAAAGAGCCCCTTGCACATTACATAGCCCCTTTACATTACACAGCCCCCGGACATTACATAGCACCTGCTCCTCTGGTGCCCTTTACAATACACAGCCCCTTGCATATTACACAGTCCCCTTTACATTACGCAGCCCCTGTGCATCTAGCCCCCTTTACATTACACAGCCCCTGCACATCTGGCCTCTTTACATTACACAGTCCCTGCACCTCTGGGCCACTTTAAATTACACAACAGCTGCACCTCTGGCCCCCTTTACATTACACAGCCTCTGCACCTCTGGCCCCTTTACATTACACAGCCCCTGCACCTCTGACCCCTTTACATTACACAGGCCCTGCACCTCTGGCTCCCTTTACATTATCCAGCCCCTGCACCTTTGGACCCCTTTACATTACACAGCCTCCTTTACATTACACAGCCATTGTGCATTACATGGCCTTTTGCACATTACACAACCCCCTTTACATTACACAGCCCCCTGCAAATTACACAGACTCTGGTAGCTATTCCCTCTTCTTCACATTACACAGCCTCCGCAACTCTGCCCCTTCCTACCTTACTGGGGCATGCAGAATGGGAGACAAAGCAGCACCGAATAGAAGGTGGGAGCTGCTGGATTTAATTTTACCTATTAACAAGCTGGTGATTGATTGCTAGGACCACCTAGCAACCAATCACCTGCTAGTTAACTTAGAAATTTAACTCTGGCAGCTCCCACTTTTTTCTACTTTATTATGACTTTGCCTTTGTGTACAAAGCCAGGTCCATAGAGGCATAATTTGAAATAGATCAGTCCAAGCAGGTTTCCATGATGTGCATGCCTGTTAGCAAGTTTAACGTATAACTAATGGCAAAAAATTTTTTTTTTTGGACAGAGTGGTGAGGGATTAGAGCACCTATTAAGTTTTTATTGTTTTCTGTGCCCCCATTAGGGAGATTCACGCTCTATATTTGTCCTGTTTACCATTATCATCGAAAGTGAAAGTAAAGAAAACCCCAAATTTTGGGTTGTCCCCTAAAAAGTAATAGAGGGTAAATTTTCCAATGGGGGTCCCTAAGGAATTCCCTTAACTTGCGTGGATTATCTCCCACTTCCTGTTTTGGCTATGGAATCTCCCCAGTGGGACACAAATGGCAAAAAAAAAAATATACTGACAGGGGTTATAGTCTTCTCTTACTCTATCCAAAATAAATAAAAAAAACATTTTGCCTATAGTTCTACTTTAACTATGCAATAGTCCACTAAGTGTTGTCAGTATTCAGAAAGGGTTTTGCAATTCCTCTCTTATAGGTTGTGCTAGCAAACTTGAATATTCCAATTGGTCTGTAAGACTGTATTTAATATGGATGAAGCTGTGGTAGACTTAAGGGAGGACATATCATTTGTGTAGATGTGCAGCTGCACATGGCTTCTCTTGGATTTGAGGCTCAGTTATGCATAATTGTGCTGGGGTCATTGCTTGGCCTCCTGCCATTTTCACAAACACCTTGCACTGTTCATTATGGAGACATGTGAGAAGCAGAAGTTATTGGTCAAAAAGCTCTATGGCCCTTGTTTGGATTATTAATGTGAAGCTGGGCAAATACTCTCTGTCCAATTAGCAGATAAACATGCAGAATCCTATAACCATTTCGACCTTCCGTGGATTGATTTACCAAATTCATCTATCTATCTATTTATCCATCTATGTATCTATCTGTCTTAATGCACACAAACCTTTTGACAGGGAAATGACAGGGAAAGGGTTAGAAAAACACAAGTTGGGATAGTTACACAAGCACAAAATTGGTATTATTCACCTGGAGAGATGAGCCAGTGGTTAATGCCTTTTGGGGGCAAAGAGTTGTGCAGTACTATGCACACAGGTACATGTGCAGGACCCAGGGGCGGACTGACCATTTGGAAACTCGGGCACTGCCCGAGGGCCCGGTGTCAGTAGGGGGCCCCATGAGATGCCCCTGGTACCTTTTTCATAGGCTTTTTTGAGTTTGGGCAAGGACACAGGGGCCCCATGATCCCCTATTGCCCGGGGGCCCCATGAATTGTCAATCCGCCCCTGTGCAGGACTATGAATTTGTTTGACTGATGACTCACAAAGAACTTCTGAACTATGCAATGCCTGAGTTTTAACGTTAGTACATAATTTCCCAGGGGATTAGAGGCCCCAGATTGATAGGAGTGGGGCAGATGTTCTGGTCCTAGTAAGGGTGCAGGTGTCTAGACCACACCCACCCAATGCTTAATTGGGATTTCATCTACCTCACATCAAACACGACCATTTCATTCTATGTCGCCTGCTAAGTATGAAGCATCTTGATCACATTTCTGTAAAAATATTTAGGAAATCCAAGGAAAGCTCATTGCAATCAGAATACATTTGGGTAATTTAAAATACTGAGTTGTGAGCCTGTAGGCTTCTTAACAATGTATGCTTTTAATGCAGTGGGATTTTAGAAGACTTTGAGCTATTTGGCAAAGTGCTGAAAGTTTACAGACCATGTTGGTGTTCCGTCATGTTTCTCATTTATCCTTTGTAGAGCAACATTTTGCACTATAGTGTACAGCCTTCATGTGTTTTCAATAAGGACATTGGTTTGCAGCTGCAGTTATCTTTTGCAGTACATAAATTTCATGAAGAACATATTTTTTCCTCCTTAACAAAGACCTGTGAGACTTACCATGCATCAAGAACTTATGCTGAGTAATGACCTCTGACCTGTGTTGCAGCACCCAGAAGAAAGAAAGCTTCATTGCTTTTAGCAGATCAGAGAGCAGGTGATGGAAACATCTGCAAGAATGAAAGTATATTTAATTGGTCTCACTGAGATGCAATTGCAATACACCTTAAAATACTACAAAGGCTTTTTTGAAGAACAATAAAAAAAAAACCAGTACAATGTACTTACTTGCAAACTCTGACACATTAAAGAACTTTTTAGGCTAGTTTGTGCATGCCACACAGAAAGAATGAAATAACCAAGCTTCCTAGAGTTGTGTGCAATGACATCATTCTGGTATTTTTATTACACAAATCTCAAGTATGGATTTCCACAGTAGTCATCACAAAGTCTTAAAGGTTTTCAAAAAAGGGATGTTCAAGTAGACAATGTTTTGTCAGCTGTTGGCTACTGTCAACAATGCCATGCTTATTTCTCTGCTAAGCCCAATTAAAATGTTAAAGGGGAAGCCATTCAAAAATAGGTTTGGATTTTGTCACTTTAAATAAAGTCTAAACTCATCTGTCAGAATTCTATTTGAAGTGTCCTGATGTAATACAATGTATATTAACAGTTAGAGCATTTGTTTTACTATTTACAAAACAAAATGAAAATACTTGTTTTAGACCTTTTGTTTTGTTTTGCAACAGGCAAATACAATTTGCTCAAAGACTTGTTTTCTGATGTACTTAAGTGTACCCCCTTTTGAGGGCCCTATTTGCCTATACAGAATGCACAGGTGTTTTGTTCTTCCTTGTGGATGCAGGTGTATGCAGGTCACCAAATGTTTGCAATGTCTGCATTTGGGGATCCCCATTAGCAAGTACATGCACCCACACAGATGTCAAATTGGGAGCAGCAGCTGTGTCCATGCAGCCACTGCATCCCAATTGTGTTGTGTCCCAGTTGACATGAATGGGGCTGTCTACACATGGATGCACCGAACACCTGTGCATCCTGTGCAAGCAAAACCTGGCCCTCACATGGGTGTATGCTTAACCTCTTCACACCGGCTGTACGCATATTTACGGCTGCTCAGAGGTTGGGCCTTAATGCTGAGAGGCCGCATATATGTAGCCCTGTGTAAAAAACTTACCATGCTATCTCCTAATCTATCCACCTCTTTAACCACTTCCTTCCTGGCCTACAGTAATATGACGGCCAGGCGAACACTTCGTCCCTCCGGGAGGGCGTCATATGACGTCCTTCCTGGATCACAGGGCAGCACTTTGGCGAGATCTGTCATCGGCTGTGTACCTCGGACATGGCCAATGAAAGATCTGTGTACCGGCCCCGTTGCCAGTACCATGTGACTTGCTGTGACCAGTCACAGCAGGTCACATGACAGTTGTATACAATGGATGGCTTTCTTTCATTCTATCCATTGTATACAAGTGTGTCTAGCTGTGAATGGTCACAGTGATCACAGGCTGGGACAATCAAAGCCCATCTGTGTCATGTGATTAGCCACAGTGTGGACAAGCTGGCATACGCTCGGCCCGATCTGGGAAGGACTTCATATGTCGCCCACCAGGATCAACGAGAGTCCTGCTTGGCCATAATTTTGCTATTGGCTGGGCAGGAACAGGTAAACCAAAAAACAAAAAAAGATTCAACTATATAAAGTCCAATGCCAAGTGTCCCAGAACCAAGTATTTTATTTGTATTTATTTATTATTGGTACTTATTTAGCGCTGTCAATTTACGCAGCGCTTTACATATATACAGTATATTGTACATGCACATCAGTCCCTAACATTTAAGGGGCACACAATCTAGAGTTCCTAACTCACATTCATACATACACATACTACGGTCAATTTAGATAGGATCCAGTTAACCTACCAGCATGTATTTGGAGTATGGGAGGAAACTGGAGTACCCTGAGGAAACCCGCGCAGGCACAGGGAGAAATCCAGGCAGGTGGTGCTATGGTTGGGATTTGAACCAATGACCCTAGTACTGCCAGGCAGAAGTGCTAACCATTTAGCCACTGTGCTGCCCAATGTAAAAAAATTGGAGCACTTGTGATTCACACAACATCAATACAAAATGCACACTCACCACAAGGGTATGATCCCTTTGTTAAAAAGGTCATTAAGTGCTCTGTTCTGGTGTATCACTGGGTACAAGGACACTCTCAAATCTGCTTCCTGAAGATGCCTTATTGGTGAAGCTGGTTGAGGTGGACCTTGCCATCACTTCTGGTACCTTAGTGACATCAAATCCAGCACACTAGAGCCGGCTCTTGGAATGCACGCCGGCTCTAGTGAATTGAGCGGTGTAGCTGTTCCCTCTAATGCAAGCTGTACATACTGGTGCCAGTCTCTATCAAATGTGAGAGGATATAGTTCTTATATATTGACGGATCTTATATTTTTAATAAATACTGCAGTATATTATAATCTTTTGGCATCTTTTTTGGTGAATGAGCGCATGACCCAGCTTCAACAATAACAAAGAGCATACATTTTAGAGTGACCCTGATACCCAGTGATACATCAGAACAAAGCGCTTAATGACCTTCTTTAACCCCTTCGCACCGACGTCACACGAATATGCGGCCTCGCACAGAACTGGACTTTTTTCCATGGGAACACATATTTGTGTACCTGTTTTTCTGCTGTGAGTGTGCCGCACAGCGCGCTCCCAGGACAAACACCGGGGTGGCACTGAGAGCCCCAGGTCCCATTCTAACGATCAGGACCCGGGACCCAATTCCTGGTCACATGATCACTGTGATATCCTCTGATTGGCTATCACAGTGATCAGTCACTGTATAGCCCCCCCCCCACTTGTTTTTTTTTTTTTGTTTTTTTCTCTATGAATGGAGGAGAGAGATATATGTTTGTTAAAAATAAAGATAAATAAATAAATAGAAAAAAATTCCTAGATCAAGGTTTGATTTAGTTCCAGGGTTAGTGTGTGGGTCAAGGTCAGGGTCAAAGGTCAAGCTCTAAAAGTCAGGGCCAAAGGTGAGGATTAAAAAAAAATGGTATCCATGTCAGTTAGTGTCAGTGTGTTTTAGGTAAACACAAAACAAAATGCGCACTATTGTTTATGGGCTGTACAAACAGCAAATAAAATACACACATATGGTATCGCTGCGATCGTCAAGATCTTAAAAATTTATTTTGGATTGTTCTTTGGTGGTAGGTTATGGTAGTAACAAGAAACACACAGCTAAATTAAAAAAAATGATTTTTTTCTTTTACTATTTTGGGCCAGTTTTCCTTTGATAATAAAAAATAATCAGGAGATATCCATTACCATTTACCACCAAATGAAAGCCCAATTTGTCCTGAAAAAAAACACGCTATAATTCACCTGGATGTACAAAGTAGTTGTGATGATATGTACAGTTTTACTAATACATGTCAACGTTGCAAAATTGTGCTTAGGCATTAAGATTTTTTTACCCTTAGACATGAAGGGGTTAACAAAGAAGTCATGTCCTTATGGTGAGTGTGCATTTTTGTATTCACGCAGTGGCACATACATTCAAATGTATACAGAGGAAGGAAGAATCACATGCTCATGATTTTTTTTCACTTGGTGCTGGGACACTTGCCCTTGGACTTTATCTTGTATAGTTAAACCTTTATTTTGTTTTTTTTTTTAACAAATAGATTACATTTTTAACACATAGGATCACACTGTGGGCTTTATTTTGTTTAGGTGGACTTTATTTGTTTAAAACATGGAATTAAAACATGGAATCATTATGTTCAATTGATGGCCCCTGCGTGGGCGTGTCTTGTTGCTCCAGTGTTTTTTCTTAATGTTTATAAGCTAATAAAAATCATTGAGATACAAAACATGGAATCACATTATACTTGATGAATGCCATGTGTTGCTATAAAGATTGGAGTGCCTGCACTTTATTAATAATTTTATTAAATTTGACCTATAAACATCCAAAAAACAGTGCTAAAATATTTAAAAAAAAAAACTTTACACGTCACTTATAATGAAAAAACAGTATCTAAATAAGTGAAACACAATACTAATCAGGTTCCATAAAATACTGATTTGAATCCAAAAAAAAAGTCCCCATATATCACTACAATGTAAGTCATGTGTTCTCTTGTGCCAAAAATCTTTCAATGTATCAATCTTGACTGCATCACTGCCGCACTGGACAACAGTCGGGTGTCAGAAAGGTAATATACAAAAAGGTAAAGTAGCAAAAACAATAATTCTAAAAAATGTATTGATTAATGTTATACATTGTAAAAAATCATATGTTTAAGAGTATATACAAAAGAAACAATCATTTTGCTGAAAAAGATTAAAGGGCAATTTTAATGTTTTC